ACTATCCTGAAGTTGAATTCTGCAGAAGCAAAAAAGAAAACTTTCTCTACTTGTGCTGCTCATCTTATTGTTGTGACTTTGTATTATTGCACTGGATGTTTTAGGTATATGAGGCCCAGTTCAGCCTCTTCAATTATTTTGGATGAACTCTTCTCCATTCAGTATAGTATTTCCACACCCATGCTGAACCCCCTTATCTATAGCCTAAAAAACAAGGAAGTGATGGAAGCCATCAAAAAGCTAATGGGCTACAAACCCTTGATTTTTTGTACTGTCTAGTATGGCTTGGTGTAAAGCAGATTGAATACTATGCAGACAGTGAGATGAGGAATGAACTGGTTGTTTTGGAAAACTATTACAAAGCTTGTTGTTGGTTACATATATATTAACAGATAAAATAAGTGGATTAGTTTAGTAGACTTCTTTTTGTGATCAATCATCATTTGGATAATGTCGTTTGAAGCCTGATATTTTTGGAAGTATTGTCCAAAGAGATTCTACTGATGAGTCTCATTCAAGATTCTCAGAATTTGTGATTGTATGACAACCTAAAATAATAAGTGAATATGTGTTACCATCATTTATGATATTCATCATACTGATATTGATTTATGATATTGATTATGACAATGATGAGAATTGCTAATGGAATGAATTTTTCTCCATTTGCGTAAGTATTTTCGCATGAAGAATTTAGATAGATGATAGATAGATAGATAGATAGATAGATAGATAGATAGATAGATAGATAATAGATAGAGATAGATACATAGAGATGCTGTATATAATTCTTCATGCAAAAATATATGTGCACATGCACACATACATACATAAAATGATGAAAAGTGAATATTTATTTTAATGAAACATTTATTTATCTAAACATTTGTTTTCTTTGCCATGATCTATCATGGAGTTGATCAATCTCACATTAAAATAAGGTAACATTGTTTTCCCTGTAAAGCAGGGGTTCTTAACCTTTTTGTGCTTGAGCCCCTTTGAGAGCCTGATGAAATCTAAAGATCCCAATTATGATTAACTATAACTATCAAAATAGTTTTAAAAAATAAATTAAAATTTAAAAACTGTAAAAAACTACTATATGCAAAAAATTTGTTGCTTTTCATATTTAAATTCATAAATTGCTGAAATATATTCATAGAGCACCAAGCAGTCTATTAACACCAGGTTAAGTTCACATGATCTAATGGCCATTTATCCTGTTCTGTTGTATTCAGAATCTGAAGCCATCATACTAACTCCTGGTTAGCTAAGGATCATGGGATCTGCTTCTTTTCTGCACATCTAAGTAAAACAATTGCTCTCAGATGTACCAGGCAGACTAGAAAAGAAGCATGACCAATTCTACTTAATTGAAACGCTACATCGACAAAATCTTTCAAGTCTGAAAATATAATGCTTCCCACTCCCAAGAAACTAGAGAGAGCCCTTCTGAGCCTCTTATTCTGCTCACTATCCAGCTGCAGGCTATTCTCTGACTGCCCTCTTCATAGCTATTATTTGCTCCATCTCCCAAGATCTTTCCTATATATCATTACAGATGGGGACCATTTATTTCTGAGGAGTTATTGTTAAATGGCAAACTTTACTTGCTGATAACCTACTGAATTAAAATTCTTTTAAGAGGCTGGAAGATTGGACTTTCTAACCTTCAGACTGGCTCTCAGGAGATGACCTGGCTTAGTTAGGACCTGTGTTTTATTTCCTCATCAGCATAGGACATATAAAGAATGAGCTTCTTCCCACTTGCCTTCCCCAGAACTGTGCAGAATTTGAATTCCCTGCCTGCCTGCCTGCCTTTCATTCCTATCCCTATTCAGATGCTGAAGTGAAAATTTGATACCATTGTATGACATGCCAACATTTCCTTAAATTTATTTGTTTGCTTAACATAGCTTATGAGCATGAATGCCACTTACTGTCCTTTTAGTAATAATATTTTATGCAATAAACAACTTAAACATAGTCAGAATACAGTGTAAACCACCATCAAGAAACTAACAGTACAATATAGATATAGAAGAGAAAGAGGGAGGGATACAGATAGAAATAGATATAGAAACGAGATAGAGAGAGAGAGAGAGAGAGAGAGAGAGAGAGAGAGAGAGAGAGAGAGAGAGAGAGAGAGAGAGAGATGTGTGATCCATTTAAATCAATTATCTAATACAAGAACTACCAAAATTTAAATTGGAATTTTTCCCTTCAAAAGAAAGGTTCTTCCAATTTCTTTAAAACTGTTGGGAGGAAAAAGTCATTTTCAACTGTCCACTATTCAGATTCTAAATATAGGGGAGATATGGGGAGTCACTCCCAAGGAGCAAGAGCTGAATGATAAAAACCTGGGTAAATTGTGAGAAAGAAGAAATAGGACTGAACTGGGAGAGGCAATGCTGTTCTGTATGTGAACAGCACATGTATATGAGCAACCCCAGAGTCAGGAAATTCACCCGACAGATGGTTACAACCAGTGATGGGATTCAACCAGTTTGCACCACTTCTGCAGAACCAGTAACTAATTTTTTGTTGCCCAGGCCCAGAATGGACTTCTGGAAGCAGCTTCCACACAGAAAACTGGTTGTTCACATATTTGAATCCCACCACTGGCTACAACAGTTTATATCAGACTGCACAAGTATGAACTAATTGCTTAGCCATCTTAAAAGGTTTTTCTGAGGTTTTTGCGGGTGTTTGTATGTAGGTCTTTGGTTATTCGGGTTTTCTCCTGCATAAAATTGGAAGTGTCTTAGCGATATTTCGACGAATTCCCATTCGTCATCTTCAGGCTGGTGTTTTCAGCTTTGTGCTTCTAGGAGCAAGACATTTCCAATTTTATGTGGGAGAAAACCCGAATAACCAAAGACCTACACACACACACACACACACACACACACACACACACACACACACACATATATATATATATATATATATATATATATATATATATATATATATATATTCAAGTCTTGGTGTATTCAGGTCTTTTGCCATGTAAGATTGAGAGTATCTTGGCAACGTTTTGACATCATTTTCAGGCTGGGGTTTTTGGCTTCATGCTTGTGTGAGCAAAGTGTGATCAGAGCTGCCGTCTCTTTATAAATATTGGTGGGAGGGTGTGGAGTGCTGGCTTAGTTGCTGTAGGTGGGTTGGTTGGCTGTGTTGGAGTTATTGTTTGTGGATTGTTTGGCTGTTTTGTAACATCCTGAGTAGCTGAGGTACTGGCTGTGTGCCCATTAGTCTTTTGTGTTGTAAACGACTTGGGTAATGGGCTGGTAGGAACCAAACTAATCTCCAAAACTGAACACCACAACAAGAGAATAATTATGGAAGCCATCAAAATAGAGAAACAACCCCACAACATGAATAAACATGATGATACCTCCCACCTAACAGACATCTGGAAACTAGCCCTAATCAACAAACGAGTCCTAGCCACGAAAACTGACTCCAGACCCAGAACAACACAGTACGCCACCATCATTCACCCTCACCAGACCAAAACCCAAGCCCAAACCCATCCCTCAGACGAAATGCAACTACCATCCAGAAGCCAAACCATGATGAATTTACCAGCTGCTGCACCTCCTTCGACCCCCACACAAAGCAAACGGACATACACCATGAACACAGAGCTAGACCGCAAACATGGAGCCAAACCAAAGCCCAGCATGTTACATCACAGCCTTCTGCTCCGGACATCACATCACAGAACTCAGGAGGTTACAACGCTAAAGCTCAGGATGTTACAACACAGCCAACCACCCAGGAAGTTGCAACACAGAACTCAGGATATCACTACACTAGATCTCAGGATGTTACCACACAGCTTTTGTAATCTTATCACTGTAATTGTCATATTACTGTAATTGTCATGCAGTAAGAACTCCCTAACCTTACACTCCTAGAAACATTAGCACCTGACAATTCTAAAAATGATTTTTTAAAAAAAATAAAAAGGAGACAAGCAAGGAGCAACTAGGTGAACAATCTATAAATAAATCTGTGTTTGATTTAAAAAGTAGTAGGCAGAGTCAAGCACATTGGCATATATAAAGGTCACATTAAATTTTAATCATATTGAGGTTCTTTGGGGGGTTGTTGAGGAAGGAATTTGAAGAGAATCATTTCCACGAGCTCCTGGTTTATAGTCAAACTCATTTCTCCGAAAATAGCAATTATTATGCAAAAAAATGTCTACATTTCTTTTAGATAGAAGAGAGATTCCTGGACTATTCCACAAGTTTACAGGATTGTACTACAACAAATAACACCTCAGAGGTTCCAGCACATTGCGTAAATAATAGAGATTAAGAAATGCAATAAGAATCTTTTTGCTGACATCTTCTGTTTGGAATTCATTTTGAAAAGTGTCTAATTTACACTTCCATTTGTGTGAGAACAAAATGTCCTGCTATATCTTAATACACTTTCTGGAGCATCCAATGGAATCCCTTTGACTAACAGTCTCCTTAAATGTATTGTCGTCAAAATTGTATTCCACTGAAATATATGTATCTGAAAGGGAAGGTCTGTCAATTGACTTACAACTTTAGAATAGTAAGCAACTCAAAGTCCCTTGGTTGTATTGGGCAGCTATATAAACTGAATGAATGAATGGATGGATGGATGGATGGATGGATGGATGGATGGATGGATGAATCATCAATCAATCAAAATTCATATGATTGCTGATAAAACTAGTGGAGAGACATGCTGGCCTCATTTATTTGAGAGCTAGAATAGGAAATGTTATAAAGGGAAAAAAAAAAAAGAATTAGCAAAGCCAGACTTTCCAGTAATCCCCAAAAAAGAACAGGAGTTGTGATCTCAACAGTGTATGCACCCTTAATGTGCATAAGTCAAAGGCTCTGGAGACTATTAGGAATTTATCAGCCTGGATGCTCTACATGGAAACATAACAAGGAAAGGAAATAAATTCAAATGTTACTCCTGTACATATTTTAATTCTGTGATCTGTATGGTATATGGCACCATTTGTCCCAGAGGAAACTTGACATTAAAAACATCAAAGATATATATGCATATCAAATGAGCAGTCACAGATCTTTGGCAATCAAGAAGAGATGCAGCACTTTAAAATTATAAAATCTTTACAGATTATCAATTTGACCTCAGTGTAGATTGCTTGCCAGGAGTTTCTAGAAGAATAGGTAAGTTTTCTAAGAAAAGGAAGGATGTTTCTTTCTTAAAAAGAAAAAAAAACCTGACAAAGTGTTGTATTAAAATAAATTGATCGCTCTTTGTCTTTACTTCTCTGAACTGGTCAAAGCAGGATCCCATATAATTCATTCTGTGTAATTTTCAGGGAATTGTTCAGATAGCAAAGATAAGACATGGTTAAATATTCCACAGAGTTATAACTGTAGAGCAGTTTTTCACAATACAATGCCCTCTAAATAGGTTTTATTGAAAATTCTCTTAATTCTTCATCAAAGTGTGGGAGCTTTTGTAAAGGACACTTGTTGGGGATATAGTATAGGGAATATTGAAATAGGATTTTTTATTATTATTTTCTTTGACTTCTGTAGTTTATTTTGCTACACATTGAAATTAGCTGACTAAGTTTTTGTTAGTGTTTATTCTGTCATAAATTCCCTGGGAATGAAATACAGAATTTTTGTGCCAAATAAAGTTAATGGTAGAATGTATTTTCATTCTTACCTTCTGGTTATAGAGCTAAATTTATTAAAATTACTGATGTATTTCAGTCTCTCTCTCTCTCTCTCTCTCTCTCTCTCTCTCTCTCTCTCTCTCTCTCTCTCATATTATCATTACAAGGAACAATTTCCTGACCGTACATGGAAAAAGTGACCAGCAACCCTAAAATCTTTCCTCCAATAACATTGTATTGTTGTGGTCTTTAGTGGTCAAAATAAATAAATTTTGAAACTGCATTGCTGAAAAATATATATCCAAAAAATCTGTATATGTTGAAATTTCATGTGCATATTGCTGTTCAAATGATTAATCAGCTTTGACAAACTTTTATCAAGTGTTTTCAGTTCTGAATTCCAATCTCCACTTGCCTTATCCTGCACATAAACATTCCTAATTGCATCATATTCATAATATCTGGTAGTTTTGATGCAAATTCTACATTGATTATTATCCTAGTCTGCTACTTCCATTTCAGCTCAGCTATCCTGAAGTTGAACTCAGCAGATACAAAGGGGAAAATTTTTCCTATTTGCAGTTCTCACCTTATAGTTGTGGATTTATGTTACGACACTCCCTAGTTTACATATATCAGCCTCCTCAGTTATTGTGGATGAATACTTCTCTATTTTTTCTCTCACAGATCCCAACTAATACACATTTTGAAAGTAATGCAATTTCAAAAAAAAGTATCTTAAGGATAAATGAGTATTTTTGTCTCTCCCTTTTGTATATGTCTGAAAATAGAGAATGTGTTGCCCCTCATATACTGTGTTAAAGTTTCTCTCATATTTTTCCCCTGATATTCTTTCCCCACCCATCTAATTGTGCAATGCATTGTATTATGTAATGGAAATGTTATTTTCTCTTCTTGTTTTGAAGTTTCTACAGTGTGTGAAAGGAAATGGAAAATCAGAACACCACAGTCACTTTTTTTGTCCTTTTGGGATTTTCATACATTTATCCAGTCAATATTTTCCTTTTCTTGGCATTTTTCCTGATGTATGCTTTGACTTTATTGGGAAATGTTATGATTATGGTAGTAACAAATTATCTCCCCAACCCCATGTATTTTTTTCTAGCTCATCTGGCTTTTCTTGACATGTGTTTATCTTCTGTTATTGTGCCCAAGCTGCTGGTGATTTTCTGGGCAAAAAAGAATATTTCATATTCTGACTGCTTTATTCAGATATTCATTGTCTTTCTTACAGGAGGCACTGAAGATTGTGTCCTTGCTGCAATGGCTTATGACCGATATGCTGCCATTTGCAAGCCCCTCCATTATATACAAATTATGAATAAATCATTTTGTAAGTGGCTGGTGGGTGGAGCATGGGCAGTTGGCTTCTTATGTGCTTTTGTAAATATATTACCTATTTTGAAGCTAGATTTCTGTGGACCAAATTTTATCAAGGATTTCAGCTGTGAATTTCCATCTGTACTTGCATTATCCTGCACAGAAACATCCTCCAATTGGATGGCATTTCTGATATCAGGTAGTTTTGTTGCAAGTTTTTCATTGATTATCATTTTTGTCTCCTACATTCATATCATTTCAACTATCCTCAAGTTGAATTCAGAAGAAGCAAAAAGGAAAACTTTCTCTACCTGTAGTTCTCACCTTATTGTTGTGGTTTTGTATTATGGCACAGCCTGCTTTAGAAACATGAGGCCCAGCTCAGCCTCCTCACTTATTGTGGATGAATTCTTTTCTATTCAATACAAGATTTCAACACCAATGCTGAACCCCTTTATCTACAGCCTGAAAAATAGAGAAGTGAAGGAAATAATAAAAAAACTAATGGGCTATAAACCCTTGATCCCTTCTTCTTTGTAAACTGGTTTAATGTTGGATTAATTGACCATTCCGTGAGAATTTAATTGAGAAACAAATGTATTATTTTGGAAATGTATTTAAAGACATCTAGTTTGGCATATGTGGAATATATTGGTTGAATTCAAGACAAGGGAAATTAATTTGTAAAGTTTAGTAGGCTTACACTTAGTGAAAAATATTAAATCAGACAATATGTATTAGAAGATATTTTTCCCCTAAAACCTTGTCCCTATATCAACTTATGAAGCATATACATAAGTAGTATACAACAGGGTTTCTCAGAATCTGTAATTGTATGACATCCTAAAGTAACAAATGAATTTGTGTGACCATTCATAAGAATAGTGATATTGATGAGGATGATCATGATAACTGGTAGGAGAACAAAACTTTTTACATTTATGTGCAGACTTTTGTGTGGGAAATTTCTGTGCAACCTAATAAATAGTGAACATATGTTTCAATGAAACTTTTATTTATTTACCTGCACTCATATTTTGTTTCTTCATCTCCTCTTCACTCCATTAATCTGACACTGCTATTATGAAATATGCTACTAAAGCATGCAATAACTCCTAGGGAAGCCCACCGGCCTTTGATGATAGAATAAGGATTATTTTGCTTTTTTACTGTGGTAGGCATCACCTGCTAAGTTCAACTGTTTTTAAGGGGCATGCAGATGGGAAGCTGGGTTTTCCAACTTTTTGTGTGAGTCCAGAAGGTGTCTGCTTCTTCTGAGTAATAACATCTGTCGCACAATGGCTAATAAAAATGTGGATATTATTTTATCAGCAAATACATAATGTGCTGAACTTGGTGGTACATTTTCTTCCTGACTCTGAGGACATGCCTCTATTTGGGCAGATCCTGGCAGATCTCTTGGTCCGTAGGAGGTCACATGCAGAGGGGGCTTCTACATGGCTTGGGACTGGGTTAGCTAAGGGATTGTCTTTTATCAAAAGTTGTTACCCATCTGATCAGATTCAACAGATTGAGCATGCTGCAGTTCCCATCAGCCAAAGAGTACCAACTGTTGCAGTCCCTGCCTTATGGAATATTCTCCTCTCAGAATGGTTCCAACCCTGTTTACTTTTCACGAACCTTTAAAAACTTGGCTATCTACCTGGGTCTAGGCCTCAGAATATATAAAGAGATCTGTTACTTGGGTTTACTATTAGTTGATTAATCATCCTGGGTACTGTTTATACTTATTTATTTTGTGTATGTTTTTATTGTTTTAATGTATTTTAAGTTGTTTTAACTATTTTAGAAATATAGAAATATAGAATTGTAAGCCCCCAGACTCACGGTTGAGTAGGTGTCTATATAAATTGATTGATTGATTGAATGAATGAACAAACAAATGAACAAATGAATGAATGATACACGTACACATACATATAAGTATACACAAGTATGTTTTACCATTAATTTATATATTCTGTATTTGGGATATACAAACCAAACTTTCTTTGTAGTGTATCTGGTAACTCTGCTATCTTTTGATTTTTTTTCCATTTTTGATTAATTTGTAGGCTGTCATTTTACTATTATCTGTGCAACTCTATAATAGGTCACCATTTCAAAGATATTTCCTTATCTAAACATAAAAGCTAAATTATCAAGGGCAAAAAAAGCAGTGAAAGTAGGAGAAATTTGTGCCTTCTTGTTCACTTGACCATCTCTGCCTGCCCTCCAAGGGCTGATGGGGGGAATTGATCTACCAGCATGGCATGGCTAAAGTGGGACCAGTTTATGTCAGGGTTCCCTGATCTCCAGGCTGTGGTGACATGGAAGTACTGAAGCTACAAATTTGCCAAATTTCAATCCCACAAGACTCATGGATCCTGGATTTTGAATATATTCTGCAAGCTTACCCATTTCAGCTATCTGGTTCAAAAATTGTTGCCCTATGTTTCACCCAATTGAAAATTACAGACACAAGAGTTTTAGTAGTCTCTAGATATAAATGGATACATGAACAATTAGTTTGTAGATTGATGTACTTGACTGCATTCCTTTTATGTAGTTATATTACCCCATAGGAGTTTATGTTGTTCACCAAATAATTCCTTGAATCAAGGAACTCCTTAGCCTTCCTAAAATTAGGAATCACATTATAAAATTAAGTTGAATGAATCTCCTAGTGGACAATCACTTAAATATGAGCCAGCAGTGTGTTGCAATTGCCAAAAAAGTGAACACAATGCTAGGCTGCAGTAACTGAGGGATAGAATCAAGATCATATGAAGTGTTAATATCACTTTGCAATGCCTTGGTAAGGCCACACTTGGAATATTGCATCCAGCTTTGGTCACCACAATGTAAAAAAAGATGTTGAAACTCTAGAAAGAGTACAGAGAAGAGCAACAAAGATGATTAGGGGACTGGAGGCTAAAACATATAAAAATGGTTGCTGGAATTGGGTATGTGTAAGGACCCACCTCATTTTACATCTTAAGAAGACAGAACTCTTGGAATATCTCTTCCAATAGGCATCTTTATTAAGAGAAAATGATTGCAGGCATGCTAGACAGGATCTGGGGAATTATCTCCATCCTTCAATGTTTTAAGTGTTTCCAAGCAGCCCCCACCCCACAGTTCTTTTGGGCAATGATCACTCATCCTCTCTTTTTCCAGATCCCAGGTGTTCCCCCCACTTTTCCCTCACTGCCGGCAAAAGGGAGACTTCAGAAAGAGAGAGTAGATGAAAGGTGATGGCCATATTGTTATGGTCAGTCCTCTTGATGAGAATCAACATCCAGTCACTTTGTAGTTTAATGAAGGAAGTGAGAGTCATAAACCCCCCTTGCTTATCCTCCTCCCCTTTTGTAGTATGACAGAATCCAGAGAGAGTAAGAAATGGGTTTTTTTCAGAGTAGGTAGCTAGAAATGAAATATAATTGGATTCTGACATATGTCTAGTTTAATGAAGAGAAGGACTAGGACATGATAGCAGTGTTCCAATATGTTGGGGTTGCCACAAAGAAGAGAGAAGTATTCTTCAAAGCCCCTGAGAGTAGGACAAGAAGCAACGGATGGAAACTAATCAAGGAGAGAAGCAATCTAAGAAAAAATGTCCTAATAGTTAGAACAATAAATTTTTAGAATAAAATATAGCAATGCTTTGTTTGCTCCTTGATTTTTTTTTCTTTAAATATTTTAAATGACATATATAAGCAATGATGTATAGGTTATACAAATAGGTTAAGACGAAAACCAATATGCTTCAGTGAAGGCTCTTAGCAGATAACAACATGCTATGTGAATGTGGAGAGACACAGAACCTGGTCCATCTACTGGTAAGTCAGCTATTATCAGAAACATGTACCCATAATGACTTATTTTTGGCCAACAACAAAGCCAAGAAGGTAGTTTCATTTTGGCAGTTAAAAGTTTCATCTAGACATGGAAGAAGAAGAAGGAGGAGGAGGAGGAGGAGGAGGAGGAGGAGGAGGAGGAGATGTAATGCCATGTATGCCTATGTCTTTTGTTTCATTTTATCCTTGAACTATTTCACTGGTTATATAGCTTTTGATTCTATTTCTTCTGGTATAAACATCTTATGAACTATCATAGTATTAGAAAAAATGAAAAACCATTCACACTTTTTTAAAAAAGAAATTGTTTCCACAGAAGCAGCAGCAATCCTAAGATGGAACTTTCCAATTATACTACAGTGACTGAGTTTGTTATCACAGGATTCTCCAGCCTGCAAAAGACCAGAATTCCATATTTGTACTCATTCTAATCATGTACACATTAACAATAATAGGAAACACAGTCATAGTCGTCATCACTAGTTGTGAGCATTCTCTCAGCACCCCAATGTACTTCTTCTTGAGAAACTTTTCCTTTCTAGAGATCTGTTTTACTACAGTTACAGTCCCAACCATATTGGCTGACCTCATTAGAGAAAAGAATGTTATATATTTCAACTGTTGTCTTACTCAGATATATTTTTCCATGCTTTTGGTGGCATTGAGTGCCTCCTTCTGGCTGCAATGGCTTATGATAGATATGTGACTATACATTTTCCTCTGAGATATAATAGAATTATAAATAATATTGTCTGTACTCAATTCTGCATTTGGTCTTGGATTACTCGTTTGGTCCTACCACTAATACCAGTTTTTTCTAATATCACAGCTCAGCTATTGTGGAAGCAATATTGTAGATCATTTTTTCTCTGATATATTGCCATTGCTCAGGCTAGTTTGTAATCAGACCCAACTCAATGAAATGTTGAGTTTTTTCATCTGTTCTTTCATTCTTGTTGGATCATTCACATTAACTGCAATTTCTTATGCTGCCATCTTGATTGCTGTTCTGAATATTCATTCTTCAGATGGATGTAAAAAGGCCTTTTCTACCTTTGCCTCCCATTTAACAGTGGTTGGTATCTTTTATGGAACCATGATGTTCATCTATGTCAGGCCCACCCGAAATTTCTCCTTCAACATGGACCAGTTGGTTGCTATGTTCTACTGTGTTATCACTCCACTTTTGAATCCCATGATATATAGGCTTAGGAATAAAGAAGTTAAACAAGCTCTTAAAAAAATGTATGTAAAAGATTGGAAGACTATAGTCCTGAACAAGTATTCTGAAAAACATTAAGTTATACAAAAGGAACGAAAACTGTGTTCTATTTGCAATTTTGTAATCACCCAATCTAGAAATAACTATTGCTATTCTATAGGCCAGTGGTGGCGAACCTATGGCACGGGTGCCAGAGGTGGCACTCGAAGTCCTCTCTGTGAGCACATTTGCCGTTGCCCCAGCCTTGCCTCCCATCATGACCCCCTCCTCTCCAGCAGCCCCCCTGAAGGAGAGTTGCTCACGGAGCAGCGTAGCCAAGGACATGGTAGCCAGGCAGCATAGACAAGACTCTGCCAGCACACCCCATCATGCAGTTAATTCTGCAGAGTTCAGGCAGAGGGTGTGGCCCACCATAGTGCTGCTGGGCTGCCTGGGCATTCTGTGGCGGGCCCTGGAGGCGATGAGTGGTCCTGTGGGCAGGTGGGGTGGGGGATGGGGGGCAGAGCAGGGTCAGGCAGGGGGGATGGAGTGGGTACGGGACCAGTTTTGGGGCACTCAGTCTCTAAAAGGTTAACCATCACTGCTATAGGCCCTCTTTCTGAGTAGACCAACATACAGTTGTATTCTTAGTAGCAAATATAGTGAATACTTCATAGCATATTGACTACTGAAGTTAAAATTAATGAGGCATATTTAGAGTATGTTTTCTCATTAAAAAAAGGAAGAGGGAAACAGGAGAGGAGGGAGGAGGAGGAAAATACGTAGTTTTCTGAATTCAGCTTTAAATATCAAAAATCATTTTCTAAGTGAAAAAGCAGGTTTCAATTTTAATTTGCCAAAAGTAAGAAGAAATATATTTTCATACTACTCTGCATATTTTATCTTGTATATAAATAAAATGATAATAAATGATGAATAATAAATGATGACAACTGTCTTTAAATTTATTTTTATTTTATATATTTATTTATCAAATTTTTGAAACTGCCCATCTCCCTTACCAGGGGACTCCGGGAGGTGAAGAAATAAAAAAAAATATTAAAACATGAAATTCTTGTTTTAAAATTTATAATTTAAAAAGCAAGGATAGATTATAAAGTAATATTAAATAGTAATAAAAAGATGGGGAGAAAAGCTTTCTGGGTGCTAATCAGTAGCTGCATTCTCTTCTGTGGGTTCCAAGCATATTTTTACATCTTTCCAAAATTGCTGCCTGTCTCACCTCTGGGGAGCGAATGTTCCAAGGATGGAGGCAATGGCAGAGGAAACTCTTTTCTTGGACCTTGCTAATCAGAATTCTTCATCTCACATGGTCCACAATATACCATCCCTGCCTCACAGGTGACATGGTCTAATGCAGGGGTAGCCAACCTCAGCTCTTTTATGACTCATGGACTTCAATTCCCAGAATTCCTGATTCAGGAATTCTGGGAGTTGAAGTCCATGAGTCATAAAAGAGCAGAGGTTGCTTACCCCTGATTTAATGTAATAGGATGAAAATGTTTCCATAGATAACATGGCCCCAAACAATATCATCTTCCTTAGTGAAAGGTAACTTAAAAGAGTCTAATAAGGTTGGTAAAAGACAAAGCACAAACAAAAGATATATACAGGATGGATGATGGCACAGGAAGAAATAAAACAATGATATTGTTTCTTTGCCAAGTCTCTCCATTTACATTTTCAGTGTAACATTAATATCTTATGATCATGCTGGCTCATCATACTGTGTTGTTTCACTATATCTGTTGCATATTGATTGATTACATGGTGTGGAGTTTATCAATTACATAAATTACTATCCAGAATGGATGGAAGGGAGAGTGGGATATGAAAGGCAGACAGTGATAATATTTTTATTATTTTTTTAGAAAAAGAGAACATTTACATTGTCAATAGCCTGATTAATAACAATTTTGTCTAGGTCACATTTAAGAAGATTTTTACTGAAAAAAATTACTTAAAGTGTAGCTTTAAGCAAAACAATACCTTGAGGTCTGTATGATTTGGCTTTACAGAAATAAAAAAGAAAACTAAACTAGCCAATTTATCCAGCTCTATCAAATATTTTTATAACCAATATGATTTCATATTATACCAGGAATAATATCTCATTGTGCTTCATAATTCTAACATCTCTCCATAAGAGGAAGCAACATAATTACCATTGTGTCTACTTCTGTTAAAGCATGCTGCAAGGAGACAAAGTAACATTTCTTTGTTACTTCCATCACAGTAGTCTCCAATGGAAGGAAGCTAACAGGGTTATAGTACATCTCAATAATTCCAATGGTTAATTTTGGACCTGAAGATTTGTATTTATCTTCATATCCTTAGAATAGGAATGTGAAATAATTATTCATTTATCAAACTTATGTAACACTCAACTTCTAATCCTGGGCAGCTTAAAAGTACTAAAACAAGAAAAATACAATTAACAACAACAACAACAACAACAACAATAATAATAATAATAATAATAATAATAATGCCATTAATACATGAGCAGTCCCAGTGATATGCTACCCAGCCAGAATGATCAACTAGACTTTGGCTGAACTGGAAAATCTAGACCGGAAAACACATAAACTTTTGAATATGCACCACACTCTATATCCAGGAAGTGACATCGACAGGCTGTACCTGCCAAGAAAAATAGGGGGCAAAGGACTATTGCAAATCCACCAAACTGTAGAAGAAGAAAAACGAAGTTTGAATGACTATGTGAATCAAAGTACAGAAAAACTGCTGCAGGCTGTGAAAACAGAGAACATTATAAAAATAACAGAAACAAAGGCACAATATAAGGAAAAATGGCTGGATGACAGATTAAATAGATGGAAAACCAAAGCTTTGAATGGACAACATTTGAAAAACATTGAAGGAAAATGTGATAACAACTTGACCTGGCCATGACTTAAGATGGGAACCATCAAGAAAGAAATGGAAGGCTTAATACTGGCTGCTCAAGAACAAGCACTACAAACTAATGCCATGAAAGTGAAGATACAAAAATCCACTTACAATCCAAATTGCTGACTTTGCAATGACAAAGTTGAAACTGTTTCACATCTAACTTGTGTGAGTGCAGCAAAATTGCGCAAACTGACTACAAAGCTAGACATGACCGAGTTGCTAAATTAATCCACTGGGCATTGTGTAAAAAATACGACTTGCCTGTGTCTGAAAAGTCATGGGAACATAGGTTGTAAAAAATTGTTGAGAATGAGAGGGTGAAGATCTTGTGGGACTTTTGAATACGGCAGATCACCATTTGGAACACAACATGCCAGATATCGCAGTTGTAGAGAACCAAAGTGTATAGCTGATTGATTTGCTATACCAGGAGATGCCAGAGTTGGATCTAGATATATCTAGAAATATTCCATCAAAGGAGCAATTAACAAGCATGTTGATCTAGATCCAACATATCAGTATGTAAGAAACCAGACCATTTGAAGGGCCAATCAACAAGGGAACCAATCAGATGCTCAGAATTCAAATATAGCTTCTAATGAACAAACAACCGCATGACCAACTGACCACACCAGCACACAAGATGCTTATGAGATAAGGAGAATAGGACAAGAAAATCCTGCTGATGATATTACCTAGTTTAGTAATGAAACATTCAGAAATTATATTTAAAAAGCTTGGAGAAAAACCACAACCAAAATTCAGAATGTGTCTCACAGAGATCTGGATTCCTGAGAGAACTGTGAAAAACACAAAGCCCAATGGGGAGTAGTAGGTCTGTGGAACTGAAACCTGTGGGAGAAACCTGTATTTTAAATGCCATAAAGTCATTTCACTAGTTAATATATTACTTTACCAGTACTATGTTCTATTAGACCAAACACAACTTTCTTACACTGTTATTCTGTTATATTTCCTTCTCAAAATTTTGTGAGGCAAGCAAGCATCTCATCTACTGAAAGGCTTGAGTGTAAATGGTAAAAGCTTTTCCTGCTACAAATTAGTTCTACTTGTCATCTATAGATGTATTTTTCTTTCATTATATTGTTTCAGTAATGCATTATTGTTTTATCCTTGATTAATTTTACTCCTTATCAATTAGATCTCCTCAGGCATCCATTGGCATAAATGAAAATATTTTGCTTTGCTTTATCATAGTATATTGCTTAAAAAGAAGAAAGAGTAATGTTTCTTCTGCAAAGTAAATACTTAGTAGAAGTGAATAGGTTTAATATATCTATGTTTGATGTTTTAAACAGAGAATAATATTAGATGTCTAACTTATTTCACAATAAAATGGAAGAAATGCAGTACATAGTTCTGAGAATTAGAGAAGAAAAAAATAACTTAAAGAGAAATCAGATGAATACTATTATAAGCAATATCCAAATCAAATGAACAGGCAAGTCTGTTTTAAGTTTGGTTAATATTTTTTTTGTCAGAGATGTTATTTTATTTTAATTTTTAGTATTTTAAAGCAATCTATACTTTTGTAACCACCTCACTATAGAGTCTCCTGGTATTCTCTGATTTATACTCCATTATCCCCACCAGCATTTCTTCACATTTTAGTAATGTGAAATTTATTAAGCAAAACCTTCCACTCACTGAAATATATTAAATAGGAAGTTCAGACTGAACTTCAGGAAAAGTTTCCTGACTGTACAAAGTTTGTCAATGAGATGTCATCTATCAGAGATGTATAATGGATCCTGCATTGAGCAAGGAACTGAATACAGGTGACTTCTATGGTCATTTTCAACTTTAAGTTTCTGTAACATTTTCAGTGGACCACAATTTCTTTATCCTCACATACACAATTTTTATATAAATTGTGTATGTGAGGATAAAGAAATTGTGGTCCATTGAAATTTCTTCTACAAGAATATTCCAAACAGAAATTTATAAATTCTCTCAGAAATGTCTTATGGTAAATTAAATTTAAAAAAAGCTGATGAAAAACACATAAGTCATAATGTATTTGTTGATAAAAGAAAGTGGACTTGCATTAGGGGCAAAGTTCTTAATGATAAAAAAGATAATCTTCTTATAGGAATGATCCAAAAGTTTCCTTAACAGATTTCTTTTAATTATATAGACCAAATGCTACGTAGATTGTAGCATAACTATATTTTTGTATAAAGCAATAGTCTTTTTTGCATTTCTTAACTAAAAAAAAAAGTGGGTTTCTAGGCCAAATTATATACATGATGCAATTAATATTAAAAATATTGTGAAGCTGAATCCAGTAATGACTTGAATCTGATAATGACTGAATCTGAAAATGATAATGAAAAGGTAAAATTTTAATTTGAAATAATTTAATTAAATCTGAAATATTCTGATTCAAAACTAGGCAAAACTCTCCTGTTATTATTGGGAAATGGGAAAAGCAGCTTAAAAACTCTGGCCATGAAGGTAGTATGGATGAATGAATGAAATTTGAAGAGAGTGTTGAAATGCAAAACTAAAAAATGTAGTATTTAGTCGGAGAAATTGAGGATTCAAAATAATTGGGTATAATGGTAATACATAGGGAGAAGAGTTTCTGCAGTGAACATGGAGCTGGAGCCATAATTAAACACATACGTGATAAGATACTAACTCTTCTTTTTTTCTCCCTCCATATCCAGTATAAACATCATGTTCTTATCCAAAACTGGGAATCAAACGTCTGTTACAGAATTCATATTACTGGGAATTTTAAATATTACACATGGAAGGAACTTCTTTGCCATCCTTTTTCTTATTATGTATATTATCTGTATTTCAGGGAATTCATTCATAATTACTGTAACTATGTTAAATCAATCTCTCCACACACCCATGTACTTTTTCCTTGGCAATCTTTCTTTTTTGGATATTTGTTATATCTCTGTGACTGTACCAAAAATGTTTGCAAGTCTTTGGCTGCAATGTCCCATCATTTCTTTGGCAGATTGTGTAGCGCAGCTTTATTTCCTTATTGCTTTAATGGGCACTGAAGGATTCCTACTTGCCTTCATGGCTCTTGACCGCTACTTTGCTATATGCCGCCCTTTGGTCTATACTAGGCTTATGAATAAATACACCTGTCTCCAGTTAGCTACCATATCTTGGGTTTGTGGTTTTCTAAATTCTTCTCTCCATACAGCACTCACATTCCATTTGTCTTTCTGCCAGTCTAATAGGATTAGTCACTTTTTCTGTGACATCCCTCCTTTATTGAGTATCTCATGCTCTGATGTATTATTTAATAAACTTGCCATTTTCACAATAGGCATATTTATAGGTCTTACTCCTTTCTTTTTTACATTGGTCTCTTATGTGTTCATCCTTCATGCTATTATGAGCAATGATCACAAAGGGCGGCATCACAAAGCCATTTCTACTTGTGTATCTCACATTCTAGTTGTGATTCTGTTTTATGGTTCTGCTATCTTCACATATTTCAATCCCACATCTACCAATTCATATCAGATTGTAGGAGTTTTATATAATATTTTGACCCCCACACTCAATCCCATAATCTACAGTTTACGGAACAAGGAAGTGAAACTGGCTCTGAAGAAATTGATGCACCTGAGGAAACTGGTCCATGGCAGTTAGGATCCAATTCAATTAATTTAAATCAGGTTTATTCAACTGGTACAGTATAGGGAAGAAGATGAACAAAATAAGTTTTGTACAAAATATGTGATCCACCAACACGTGGCAAATGAGATGAGTTATGCTGCAAGTCCTCTTTCTTTCAGTTATGTATTCATCCAAAGCGTTTAATTGTTTTTCAGATAAAATCTTCTGTTTTATGACATACTGCTGATAGCTTCCAAAAGAAAGTTATATCTGATTTAATTCATTCAATAGTTCCTAAATTGTATAAATGCTAGGAAGAATGGTTGTGTTTGAGAAGCATGGTGAATCTTTCCATTTTTTTTTTTTTTTTTTTTTTTGGCATTTGTCCTCATTATTTGATTATCCAAAATTGTAATTTAGGGAACAAATTGATTGCATACATCTTCTTAAATGTCCATATTATATTGTTTGATATTACTGTCATTAATTAATTTTAATGTATCAGCCATTTTGTTTTCTTTTGTTCTGTTTGAAGAAAATGTATTTCAAAATCTAATAAGCAAAGATATTGAAGACTTGCTATTTTAATATTGTTTGTGATACTCCTCTCTTGCAACTATATAATAAAATCAACTCAAAGAAAATTTATGAAGAGATGTAACACACAACACAATGAATTGAGGATAAAAGCTTATATTTGAAAATATAACATAGAAAGCTCTTATTGTATTTGTTTCAAGCCATTTTACTTGGTTACATCATTTCCCATTATTCATTCCTAGACAAATTCCTAAATAAAAGGTATTAATGCTACTGATCCTATGTCAGTTGGGCATTATTATACTTAATTTTGAAGAAATTAAACAAAATTGTTGAATTTGGTTTCTGAAAATATAAAGATGGGAGTTGTATAGATTGAACAGTTAATAGAAATAAAGATCTCTATATAAATCTTTAAGACGGTTCAGGTTTTAAGAAACAAAACATTCTTGTGAAAGAAGGAAAAGGTAAAAAAAAGGAACAACATCCTAGATATCTTCAATTTTATATTGCAACAATGTAAGTTGCAGGAGAAAGCCAGCCCAATAAGAATGTGTGTCAGCTTGTCAGAGAACAGCATGAAGCCAGCTTGCCAGGTGAGCAGAAGATCAGAGAGAGGGAGAGAGAGAGGAAGACAGAGAGAGGGAGAGAGGGAGAGGGAGGGAGGGAGGAAGAGAGAGAGAGAACTCATGCACAGCAGCCTCTATTTCTTTTTAATTAAACTCTTCAATCAAGCTTCCAACCCCTGCACGCAAGCTTTCACATTTTGCGGCTCCCAGTGTTTTCTTTTCTCTGGGAAATGGGTCCAAGTGGCTCTTTGAATGTTTAAAGTTGCCGACCCCTGCTCTAGGCCATAGTATTATTTGAAAAATTCTGTGCAAACAGCCTCTTCAGTTCCTGTTTCTGCATAGCTTTGCTTTCTTCTTCTTAAAGTTGAATTAAGGCAGAGAGGTTGGAGAGAAGATAAAGAAACTGGGAATGGGGTGGGGGTGATTAGGCCACTCAAAAAGGTCATACTTTATGTTAACAAAGAATTCCAACAGCTGTTGCATTATTTCTGTTTGAAGACCGCATTCAAGCATCTCAAATCTATTGGAGAAATACAAATTAAAATAAGAACTGGTTTACTTGCAGCTTCCTTGGATAACAGAAATCCCTCCATTTCAGCAGACTTGGAAGAGGGTTGTTGTCCAAGGCTGACTCCATTGCTAGTGTTTCCTTTTGCCCATCTTACTCAGACAGATTACTCAAGGAGTTTATAATCCTTCCTCCACTCTTACTTGATTGTTTTCTTCTTCTTTTTCTTTTTCTCAACAATTTACAGCTATTAAAATATAACAGTACCTATTGCCATTTAAAAATAAATAAAAACTGGATTCCAGGAGCTTATGAGACTTCCTGCTAACAGCTTACATGATGCTCCATTCCTCCTCCAACTCTCTCATTTAAGAAAATGATAAGGTAGATAAGATACTACTTAAAAGAGGCTAGAAGCAGAAGATTATGACCAGTGTTTTCAGGCCTAGGTATAGCACAGAAACAGCATATAGTTTGATGACAATCTCTGGTATTGCAACTATTCTTGTTTATTCTTGTTTTTGATGGCTATTTTAAAGGACAATTCCCATTTCATAATTCCTGCAAATTTTATTCAATCTGTATTTAAAATAAGATTGTATCATCTTCTATTTGGAAAAAGTAATTGTGGTTATATGGCCCTTTACAGGTAATTTTTTTGTTTAACTGTTACTATTTTCCATATTTACAAGATTGTCTCTGGGGAGAAATGCATTCCTAAATTAACAATCATCTGGGAATGAAACAATTCCTGAGAAAAAAGTTATTACTCTTGTAATGAATAACTCTTAAGTATAAATGTAAAACATGACTCATTAAATCATTCATTGCCATTTCAGATTTGATTGGAAACTATGAATGTAACTTCCAATAATGGTTAGCCATCTACAGAAATAAGAATTTGTTACTAGACATTTGGTATCTATGAGACATTTATTTTAAGATATCCTAAAGTGCTGATCATCAGATTCTGAGAATTGAATGAATTTAAGAGAAATTTAGCTCTATATCTATAAGTACCACATGAGGCTTCTGATGTTCTGTAAACAAATTATCTGACAAGATTGGATAGGTCTCAATCAATTTGATAATTTGCAAGGCTTTTGTCCATGTTCATTTTTTTATGAATTTATCTGCCTTGATCATCTAGAATGAATCCTCAATCTGATTAAATAATCCTGTTGATCAATAATATTCCCATGATTCAATAGCCTTAGAGTCACCATGATTAGATATAGTGTGGAAAACAAATCCAAGGCTGTGCCTTACAAAAGGTAAGCAAATCAAATGTTGGTTTCAAAGTGGGAAGAGATATATATATATATATATATATATATATATATATATATATATATATATATATATATATAAAACTGGTATGAAATATGTTATTTTTTTGTTTCAAAGTTTTAATAGGTAGAACAGCTTCCTTGATAAGAAATGCATTTCTCTCTAAATGCATCACTGCAATTGATACAAATCTGTAAGCAGATTTGAATGATTTAAATAAGTAGCAGATATATAAAAAATTCTATTTTTAATTTATTTTAGGAATGAGCCATATTTCCTATTCATTAAGTGACATATGGAACTTGAATCACTTCCCTCTGATGAATCAAGAGTGTGGATAACTTTCATAGAATATTTGAAAATTTGGGGACTGAGTAATACATGTGTCATACTATGTATTACATTAAATGCTTATTCTTATTTAATATGCATGAAATACTGACTTAGCTGTTTTTTGTTTGCTTGTTTGTTTTGTTTTGCTTTTTTAGAGATAGAAACTCTTGGAAAAGTTATCAGGACTGCGACATACAGGAACAAGATTATTCCTTTCCTTTATACCAGAGTTGAGAGGAGTTTCTCAAGTTACTATTACCTGCAGAGGAAAAGCTGCTACTATACATATTAACCTACTGCATATGCACCTGGCATGCCTAATCAATTATACTATGTATTGCCATAATAAAACCATAGACAGAATTTCCACTTGGGTAAAGATATAAAATTAATAGATAAATGAAGATATTATTTGCAATCTTTCATTTAATTAAAATGCAGCTTGGCCATTAAGTTATATTCTCCAAATCATGATAAAAATAAGTAGCTTTTAAGGTGTGATCACAAATCATAACTGTGCCTGGAAAAAGAAACTGGGAAAATTGGAACCTTGATAAAATAGCTCAGAATTTATTTAGGATTGTGTACTGTATGACTTTTTTCTTTTAATTAATTTAGGAGATCAAAACAGGATTGAAAGCCATGAAAGAAAAAATTAGAATGGTAATCAAGACAGTGAAGTGTTGCTAATTGAATATTAAATGCTGGAATCCTCCTGAAATACAAAAATGCTTACTTTATGTGTATAGGAACAATCAGGACAAAAGGCAATTATTGGATCAAGCATAAAAACTGTACAACATATAGTTTTTAATATCATTTTTATTCATGGTAGTCTGTTTATAGATCATGATTTCAACATGTGCTAAAAATCAAACATTTGTTATGGAGTTTATACTCTTGGGAGGTATGAATATTAAACAAGGGAAGAGTTTCCTCTTCCTCCTTTTTCTTATTATGTATATTATTTGTTTTGTGGGAAACTCACTCATGATCATTGTAGTTGTGCTAAATCAATCTCTCCATAGTCCCATGTATTTCTTTCTTGGCAATCTCTCATTGTTAGAGAGATTGCCAAGAGATGTTAGAGATGCTACATCTCTGTGACTGTGCCCAAAATGTTAGCAGATCTCTGGGTGGAATGTCCACGCATTTCCTTGATGGGCTGTGCTGCACAATTATATTGTCTCATAGCGTTGGTAGGCACTGAGGCATTCCTCTTAGCCTCCATGGCTCTGGACCGTTATTTTGCTATATGTTGTCCATTAGGATATACTAGATTCATGAATAAACATATATGTCTGCAGCTAGCTGGGATTTCCTGGGCTTGTGGTTTTCTTAATGCTTGTCTTCATACTGTACTCACATTCCGACTGTCCTTCTGTGGGTCAAATGGAATTAGTCACTTTTTCTGTGATATTCCTCCGTTGTTAAGTATCTCATGCTCTGACACATCAGTCAATGAACTTGCACTACACACTGTGGGTGTTTTCATAGGCCTAAGCCCTTTCTTCTTTACGCTAGTTTCTTATGCTTTCATCCTTCATGCCATTTTGAGCAACCAACAGAAAAGACATCTTCACAAAACCATTTCTACTTGTGCATCACACCTCACCATCGTGATTCTCTTCTATGGTTCTAGCATCTTTACATATATTCGTCCTATTTCCAGCTACTCAATGGAAAAAGACCAGCTTGTGGGAATTCTATACACTATCTTAACACCAACTCTCAACCCAATCATTTATAGCCTACGGAACAAGGAAGTGAAAATGTCAGTGAGGAAATTGATAGGTGAGACAATGTGTTTTATTATATTTAAATGAAATGTCACAGTTTAGGTAACAGATGAAATCCTGTGGCCAGTTTCATATAGCATATTGTTACAAAATTTCTGCAGAAATAAATTGACGATCATTGCATAACAATAAAAATGTAGTAAGAACAATATTTTAGTATTTTGCCTTATTTTAAATAATTTGCTAATGATAGTTTACTTATAGCTGTTATCTAATCATTCACAATTTCCCCATATCTCTCAGTTTTGTTTTTAAGTCTTTATTTCTTTCTTCTCAGCTTGCTTTTTCTTTTTCTTCTTTTTTTTTGGGGGGGGGGAGTTCCATGGCATAAAAAATATCACTTTAAAAGCTGTATATTCTCTTTCAGCATTTTTTCTTAGGAGAGTTAAAATAATTACATCTGTATAAAATAGACATCTTAGAGGATTTTTAAAGATGTTTATTTCCTTTCTAATATAATTTCATATTTTCCTGATGAAATCTAGCTTCATCATTTCTTGGATGGAGTTCAGAGTAATAAATAAACACATGTGAATTCTATTATTTATCCTGACTTCATTTCCATATATATGTTGCACTGAAGCCCGGGGCCTGCTCTAGGCCTCCCAAGGCCTTCCTCATACCTAAGGCACCATGAAGCCCACTTAATGACTTGTGTGATTGCTTAATAGGAAAGTTGCATTAATAATAAAGTAACACTCATGCACT